TGTGATAACTCTTTTACCTTACTTGAGTCACTAAAAGGAAAATCACTTTGAGTCTTACACTAGAATCATTAAGTACAAATTAGGTGTAATTTCTAGGCAAGGAGGTTCTGAGCAAGAGATTCTGCAGTTATATTTTTTTAATCTTCAGCTTTATTATACTTCTAATTATGGCTTCTCTAGTGTGCTTTTCCTCTTTAGACAGACTTCACTTAGGTTCTCTTTTATACTTTTTTGTGTGGCAAACTATAGGTAACAAAATTTAACATTTGAACCATTTTTAACTAATTCAATGGCACTAAGTACATTAAATAATAATATGGCTTACAAATAAAAACACATTTAAAATAGCTTTAAATGCATTCTTCATGAGTAATTCAGTTTATATTTTTATATCATGTTCACTTATGCTTAAGAATTAAAGCAAGTATATTACTCTGATAGAAATTTGGGAAATCACTCATTCATGCAATATAAAGGATAATATTCAAGTTAAAGGGAAAAATCCCCCTCTTTTTGTTTTTGTAAATGTATCCACATGTAATCATCTATTTGTAAGACATTACATATAAAGAAGTTGTGAAAAATAGTAATATTCAAGACTAAGCTTTGATCATTAAGGAAGAGAATGTGGAGGTTCCTGAACCAGTTGAATGTAGAATTACCACATGGCCCAGCAATCCCCCTCTGCATATATTCCCAGAGGAGATGAAATCAGCACTTCATAAAGTTATCTGAACTCCCATGTTCATTATAGCATCATTCATAGTATCCCAGATACAGAAGCAGCCTAAATGCCCATCATGGAGCAAATAGATAAAAAAAAAGTGTTGTGTCTTTATAAAGGAGATCTTGGACTGGGGATGTAGCTCAGTGATAGAGAAATTGCCTAGGATATGCAAAGCCCTGAGTTCAGTCCCCAGCACTACCAAAAAAAAAAAAAAAAGCCATGACATCTGTCATAACACGGATGGACCTGTAGGACATTATGCTATGTGAAATAAGGTAAGTACAAAAAGAAGAACATTGTATGATTTCACTTACATATGAAGTGTTTTCTTAAGAGTCCAGATACACAGAGATAGAGAATAAAATGGTTACTATGAGGAGAAGGGATTGAGAGATGTAGGTTAAAAGATACAAAATAGCAGGTATGTAGGATGAACAACTTCATAGAGATCCAATTACAGCATTTGGACCAAAATAAATAAAGCTGCATTGTGTTAGGGATTTTGTTAATTAAGTAGATTTCAGCTGCTCTTTTCTCACACACACACACACACACACACACACACACACACACAGTAACTATGTGAGATGATAACATGATGTAGTCTATAACTTCATGTTCTAGACCTCAAATGTATGTAATAAAATTTATTGTAAAAAGACTGAGCTTTTAGGTGGAGTAAAGAGTGTGATGGAATGCATGTAGCATGTTAACAAAAGATTTCACAAATGTTCCTAGATGACTGGGGATTGTGCCTGGGTAAGGAGCACCATTGGTGGATAAAATTTGGGGGAGTAGAATATGAAGAGTCAGTTTGGGGTGTATGTGTGACATACAGGATAGCTGCTCAAGTAGAGAAAATGTCAAACAGACTGCTGGGGTGGGGTTAAAGTCCAATGTTGCAAATATGAATGTTCTAAAGGGACCAAGAGAAAAGTCCACCAAGTCTATGTTGTGAGTTATTTTTATTATCTTCAGTATAGTGTTTTATATTTCATAAATTTTTGTAATGTTCATGTAGTTTTATTTATTTTTTACTTTTTGGCAGTACTGGTGTTTGAACTCGTGGCCGAACACTTGCTAGGCAGGGCACTCTACCAGCCTTCATGTAGCTTTGTAATCAAACTTAAATGTTGCTAAAATACACGTGCAACTTACTATATGCAGCAGAATACTAGTTTAAAAAATAAATAGAATGGTATTGGAAACCCTTTAGCCACCTTTAAAAATATTTTGACTTATTCATAAAAGGAGCTGTGTTTAAAAAAAAATGAAAATTTTTTTATAAATGAAATTTTGAAAGTGAAATCTATAATGCTGACTTGTGATTAGAAGAATCTAGAATCTAAACTTTAGCATAAATATGTAGATTTGTATTAGTAATCATTATTTTCCCCTTAACTCATATTTGAAAAGATGATAACCTGTTTGTGACCATATATTTAGTTTGACGTATCAGCCTTTTAGTGTGGCAGTTCTGAATACATGCTAAATCTTATTAGCTTACCAAATTGCTGTTCATTAATAGCCTACTTGTCATGAATTTATCATCCATTAAATTATTTTTTAAATAATTAATTTTGAGAGGATGTGCTCTCCTCTAAGTATTTTGTTTGCAAGTAACAATACTTAATTGCATCTCCTACTTGCTGTATTTAAGAGGATTGGGGTTGCCTTAACTCTTGTCAGTAATGTTAAGATTGTCTTAACTTGAAAGATGCTTCAGATTTTGTGCAGAGAAAAGCAGAGGTCTAAGTGACTTGATTTTATTTTTTAAAAAAGGGAAAACACGTTTTTCTCAAAGATCACTGAGAATTTATGTTTTCCTTAAAAAAGGAAAATTCATAGAGTAGAATACAGTTAGTATCTTATATACAAGTAGAATTACTTTATCTCAACATTAAAAAAAGACTTAAAAGGCCACATTGCTACTCTGCATTGACATGAATTTACTTTGAATTCTTCAGCTACAGATTAATCATCATACTTTAATAATATAGCATAAACTGGAAAGCCTTTTTTCCAAATAAAATTCAAGAGTCCAGATGTTGAAATAATATCAAAATAAATAGGATGCAGAGAAGATTGTAGCTTCAGGCAAAGTAAAAGGAATCACAGTTGCAAATTTTAGAAATTAGCAGAATGCTTGTTTCCTGAAAGTGTGCCCCTGTTCTATTATAAAGAATCTCCCTATGCTTTATAATTGCACATGAGCTGAAATTAACAAAGTGAAGCTTTACAGAGAAATAGTAATGTCTTCAGGTGGCTCCCAAACACATTCACACATTTAGAAGATGTGTAAGACATGACTTAACAGCAGTAGTTTCTAAAACAGCTCTGGATTTCATTGACTGTAAGCTCAAATTTGGAAGCAGAGTTTTTCTTAATGATTATACCTATTAAAACAAATCGAATAATTAGAGCTGGAGATGCAGCTCAGTGGCAGAACATGTTCAAGGCACGGGTTCAGTCCCTGTGCTAAAAAACAGCAATGGAGTGTGGCCTTTGGGAAGAGTGCTGGGCTCCCATCACTAGAGGTTTTGAAGAAGGTTCAGATGTGCTAGGGATTTTGTAGGTTAGACCATGTGCTTACAGTCTTTCCAACTCTACTTGCCAGTTACATTGTTTCTCCCACGAAGGAGAGACACAAAGCAGCTCTCATCTAAAATAGTTTACTTACCTAGTATTATATTTCTTTCTTGCCTCCTCCCCTCCCTTTTTTTTAACTTTGTATTGAGGTAAAATCAACATCTGGAAAATGCGCATATCATAAACATATGCAGTGTGATGAATTTTCACAATTTGAACAGTCGTGCCACCAGCCCCCATTACTGGCACCCAGCAACTCCTCTGTGCTCACCTGCAGTCACAAGCCATCCTACCCTGGTGTTAACAATCTGCTGGCTTCTGTCAGCATGCAAGCCTAGAGCTGAGCTCCTGGGTTTGTACTTCTCATAAATATAATTCCTCGTGTTCATGCTTTGCTTCTTTCTTTGAGCACTCACTCATAATGCCTCATGTAGAGCATTCATCTCATTGCTGACTAATGTTGCATTGTGAGACTATACCAAAATCCTCTCACTGCCCTATCCTTGACAGATATCTGGGTAGATTCCTGTTTGGGGCTTTTATGAACAGTGCTGTTAAGAACTTCCATGCACATCTCTACAGATTTCTACTGGGCATATGTAGCTAAGAGTAGAATAGCTTTGTCATGGGATGTACATATGCTCAACTTTAATAGATACTACTGATAGGATTGCAAAACGTTTGTCTTCAGGACCAGCATGGTTCTGGCATGGTTCCCACCATGTCAAAAATGTTAGTTTTCCTGAACTCCCATAAGCTTTTTGTTTATACCTTACTTGTGGCACTTGGTAACTTTGTGTTTTGTACTGTTGTTTTTGCACCTGTATTTCTCCTTCCCGATTATTAATGTCTCACTCATCTTCCTATTTCCCAGAGTACCTTGTGTAGAGTAAGCTCTACATAGTGTTTCCATGTGAATGGACGGATGAATTAGGAAAGTTTTATGTAGCTGTTAATAGTAGGGATGTTCATAAATTGCAAATAGAGGTTTGTTTGTTTGTTTTCTTGTGGTACTGGGGTTTGAACTCAGGGCTTCACACTTGCTAGGCAGATGCTGCCAGCATAAATTGCAAATATATGCAAAAAACGAAACAGCATCCTTACAGTGCTGGGCAGAATTAGAATTTACACAGGGAAAAACACCCCAATTTTTCTGAATTTTTGAAGAGAATTTTATGTTTTTATGTGAGGGACTTGAATATGAAGTTGAGTTGTGAATATTTACTACTAAACTTAGAGTCTGGTGTTACCTCCCATGTAGAAGCATGTGAATTTTTTTACATCACAGTGGGCTGCACTTATTAGTGTGCATTTGAAAGTTACAAGAGGGTACAGGGAAGGAGGGGAGAAGGAAGCAGTTCTGACAACACTGCCGCTAGTTGTGTATCTGCTTTATCCTTCCTCAGATCATTTCAAGGTAAGAAGTACTGATTTCACTAGATCATGATTAAGGCCCAGGAAGAGTTTTATGAGCCAAATAGAATTTCAATGACTTTTTAATTTAGTATTATTACTGTTTAAAATTACTAAGTTAAATTATTAAGTACTTGTGGTTATATTGTCCCCTTAGTTTTTCTCCACATTTCAAATTTTATTCAATAAATACATATTAAATCAAAATGTTTTAAAAGTAATTTATGCTGCAAGAATTGCTATCTTGATTACCACTTTTATTTTATTTTAGTCTTGGCCTAACTATGAAGAGATCTATAAAAACATGATTGAAATTGCCACGTTTTTAGATTTGCCTCGTTTTCCAGACATAACTGAAGACTGCTACCTTCATCCCAACATCTTGTGTATGAAATACTTAATGGAAGTCAATCTCCCTGGTAAGGTGTGGTTTATATGGTGAGGAAGCTTTCACTGCTGGGGTTATGATAAACAGAATAAAGAATCCTTTCTTTCCAGTCACAGACTACTAGAGCCATCTGAAAGGGTCCACAGTAGCAGGAAGCTTCATTTCAACATGCTTTCTTAAAAATAATTCAGACTGGGCTGGCAGAGTGACTCAAGCAGTGAGAGCACCTGCTTAATAAGCATGAGGCCCTGAGTTCAAACCTCAGTGCTGCCAAAAAGAGAGAGAGATAATTCAGACTATACAGCCGAGCATGGTGATTTATGTCGTAATCCTAGTTACATGGGAGGCAAAGAAAGGAGGATCATAGTTTAAGGCCAGCCTGTGCAAAAAGTTTGAGACACCCCATCTCAACCTGTAAGCTGGGCATGGTGGCTTACAACTATAATCCTAGCTACTAGGGAGGTGGAGATCTGGAAGATCATGGTTTGAGACCAGCCTAGGCAAAAAGTTAGCAAGATCCCCGTCTTAACAAAACAAGCTCAGTGTGGTGTTGCACACCTCTTACTCTAGCTACTTTGGAAACCTAGGTGGTAGGAGGATTGCAGTCTGAGGCCAGCCCTAAGCAAAAACATGAGACCCTATCTGAAACAATCTAAAAGCAAAAAAGGCTGGAAGTGTGGCTGAAGTGTAGAGTGCTTGCCTACCAAGCACAATACCCTAGTTCGAACCCCAGTGCCACACGCACACAAAACAAGTTAAAGTGGCTATTTCTCAGCTATTGTAAGGCTTGTTATTTTTTCCTTGTACCATTATATATCCTATAAATCACCTCTGTTGAATTTGTATTATTGCTAGTGGGGAAAGCATTGAACTTTTAACATAATAGAGCTACAAATTAAGATGCAATAATCCCTGCACTGTAGAGTTTAGATTCTTAAATGTCTGAAGTTGGTTCGCAAACCCCCCACATGTAAGATTGTAGGAGGACCTCTACCGTTTGATGCTTTCAAGTTTATAAATACTGTTCTCAGTACTGCCTAATTGACTTATGACACTGTTGCTCAGAAAGGAGAGCTGTGTGTTTGATACTTTCACAAATAGAGGTTTTAGGGGCTCCAAGAAGCTAAAAGTGGTTTTAAATATCCTAGGGCAGCAAATGCTCTTCCTTAGTGCCTTCCATTCTTCTTCTTCTTTGAAACAGGGTCCACACTGTGTTGCCCGGCTGGCCTTGAACTCAGGATCTTCCTGCCTCACCCTTCTGAGTACTGAGATTTCAGGTGTGTGCAACTACACCTGGCTCCTCCATGCCTTTAAAGGTGGCCATGAAGTTGAGTTGTAAGGTTTCAGCAAGCCTGACACACATAGCCTTGCTGAGCAGCCCCTCTGCTGGCTGTGAGTTATTTCAGGCATGGTTTCTCAGATGGGCACCAGTGAGTCTGCTCAGTAGAGTTCCTGCCCACTTTTATGGTTATATATCTTCTTTCTGAATGACTTTGGTGTTTCCAGGGTGCCCTGCACATATTCTCTCCTCAGTGAAGGTGGGAAGCGAAGGCAGGTAGGAGTCCCCATTGATAGACAAGACTTAGAGAAGCTCAGTAACACTCAGGTGGTCAGTAGCACAGAAGATTCTTATAGTCACCCAGTCCGCCCCCTCCATGTCTGGTGCTCTTTGCATATCATGCTCATTTTCAGCCTCCTGTGCTGTCTGTGCTACCCTTCTCACATTTTCTTCCATTTGCAATGTTATTACTCTTGTAGTTTTGTTATAAGAGGAGCATTGTAAACTATCAATTTTTAAAGAAAGGAGAATTTTTAAAGAAATGTCACTATATATGTAATATATATTACATATTAATACATTATTATGTATTTTATATATATGTTATATATATAAAACTCCTAATATGGTTTTGATTTTTGAATTAAGAGACCATATCCTCTACAACCCAACATAGATAATGCATAAAATTTTAGTGAATATGTTTTAAAATTAGTGTTTCCATGTTTTAAGTGTGTGTGTTTGAGTATGAGTTCTAATTATCATTTTTCTGGTATCCTCCATGGTAGCACAGTGTCTTATACATGGTAGGTACTCAGCAAATGCACGTTGAATTGAGTTTAGTTTTATATCTCCTTGTCTTTTTGAACTTGAATAAAGACCTGGAGTTGATTCAGATTCAAATTCTCTGTCATACAAACACCCTCATGAGCTGGCCCTGCTTGGCTCTTCGCATTCAGCAGTAGCGCCCTCATGAGGTCACATTCTCATAGTTCGCGCTATGAACTCAGAGCTGCTTGAGGAAAAGGACTGCCTCTGTATCAAGGGCCCAGAACATAGTTGTTGCCCAATAAATGTTTGTTGAAGAATGAGCAAAAGTGAAGTGAAAACTTTATTAGACTCTAGTAGACATAGGGAAGCACTTTGGTGCCATATTTTAAAATACATTAATAATATGTAATAGTATGTTCTGTTTTTGTGTGAGCAAAGTTCTTATCAGTGAGTTTTTTTTTCCTTTTTCGTCCCTGGGGATTGAACTCAAGTCCTCACATAGGCTAGACAAGTGTTGTGCCACTTGAGCTTCATTCTCAGCCCTAATCAGTGAATATTTTCACTTAAACATTTCACGGAAGAAATCTGTTTGTAGTTCACTCATTCTTTACGTACCTTGTAATTAACATCAGCTCTGTGTAGGTTGATGCAGTTGGAAAGACTGAGTCAGTCTCAAGTTTAAGCCCTTGACCACATGTACTGGGGGAAGATGGTCAGAGAGCTGCCGTGGTGCTCAGAAGAGGGCCAGCCAGAGAAGTTGCTGGTATCATGGTATCACACAGGCATTCTTAGGAGAAGTAATTGGTGTGACTGAGATCTGTGACATGAGTGAGCATCATCCCATCAAAGTTTGACATGAGGAGTGGGGCAAAGAACTTGGCTTTCTAGGCCAGGGACAAAAGTTGCTCTGCAAAGTAGAGAGGCAAGTGAGAATGTGGGAAAATACAGAGTTCTGTTTGAACTGGGAGCTTAAAGTTTTAATGGGTTGCATGAGGCATGCCTGTAATCCCAGAACTGGGGGACCAAGGCAGGAGGATTACAAGTTTGAGACTACATAGTGAGAACTATGAGACCCTGTTTCAGGAAAAAAAAAAGAGAAAAAGGATTACCTTATGAGTACACACATCACTATGGTTTAGTTAGCAAAAAATATTAATTCACATTTAACTGTTTTGTTCTTCAACAGATGAAATGCATGGTTTAACCTGCCAAGTGGTAAAAATGACTGGAATAGGAGAAGTAGATTTTCTGACATTTGATCCTATAGCTAAAATGAAAAGGACTGTTAAATATGACGTACAAGCTGTAGCTGTCATTGTAGTAGTATTGAAACTGCTCTTTTTATTGGATGACAATTTAGAATGGTAAGTAATGTCAGTTTTATGTCAAATAATAATTTATTGTGCTGGTCTTAGTTTTTGAAAATGGCAGGGAAGAACATTATATTACTTTTGCATAATTATTCAGAGTGAAGGAATTGATACATTATCTCAACAGAAAATGGAGACTCCATTGTCATAAAACATGAACTAGTACTATATTGTAATGTTGACTTCTCATATAATACTTTGACTCAGCTAATACCAGTAATCTGATCATGTTTCATTACTGTGATTCTTTAGATAGCAATGTTTCTCATTGCTCCACATATTTCTGATTTTTAAATATGGTCATAAGTCCTAGACTTAAGATTATTTATCACATTATTTCTATGCCTTCAGACTCCTGGCGCTGTTTGTCACAAATGTCAGCAAAGTGACTATACTCATAGTCTTCTTTGCAATTTTAGTGATTGCTTCTCTATTAAGACATCCTATCAGTTTCAAGTATTGTGCTATACTTTTTTCTCAGAAGAATTCAAAATTTAACTGTCCAAATACATGATTTTTTTAAAAAAATTGACTTATTTATCATTATTTCCAGGTCTTTGTCTGATCTTGCTGAAAAGTATAATAAAGAAAATAAAGAAGGTACTTAAATTTTTTATTAGTCAAATTCAAAGTAATTATAAATCATGAATTAAGGGCTGGCAGAGTGGCTCAAGTGGGAGAGTACCTGTGTTGCAATTGTGAGTTCAAACCCCCATTCCACAAAAAAAAAAAATTCATGAATTAAAAGATGTAAAAAATGTAGGGGGAAAATTTGAATAACATACATGTGTACATCCACACGTGTGTATACAAGCTGTACCTTTTGTACCAGGGTTATTTTTTTCCTAGACTTAGCTAATTATATCTGTGAGCCACTAAGAAATTTCAGTGACTTCCCACAACATGTAGAGACCAACCTGCTCTTTATTCCCAACTTGTGCTACCTAACCACACTCGTCCGTGAACTCAGTGGTGACTTTATAACCACTCTGTTCTAATGCCTTCAGCCTTCGCTCATGCTGGTCAGGCTCCCTGAGGCATTCTTTCCTTCTTACCCCCAATGCTCTTTCAGTCCTCGCAAATGCCTCTTCATTCTTCAAGATGCAGCATTAATACCACTCTCTACCTGTTCTTCACACTCACTCCTTCATATAACTTCCCTTCTTCCCAAGTCACAGCCAGTCAGTCCTTCCACCATTGCTGCCGTCCAGACTTCTATTGGATGTGTTGTTGATTTTTGGTTTTTTTCAGTACAGGGATTTCAACTCAGGGCCTACACTTTGAGCCACTCTGCCAGCCCTTTTTTGTGATTTTTTTTTTTTTTTCCAAGATAGGGTCTTGCAAACTCTTTGCTTCCCTGGTTTTGAACTGCATTCTTCTTCATCTCTGCCTCCTGAGTAGCTAGGATTACAGGTGTTGCCACTAATGCTCAGCTGGTTTAGTTTTCTGAGACAAGGTCTCACTATGTACCCCAGACTGACTTCAAACTTAAAATCCTCCTGCTTCTGCCTTGCTGTACTCCCATGCATGGCTAATCGATACAACTTGAACATGCTCTGACTGTCCAGTCCATTTTCTTCCTTATCTCTGGAATCTCTGGATTAGGATTAGGAAGAACAGAATTAGGCACTGATAAAGCTGGAAGTCTAGATTCAATTACAGTAGCACCATTTCACACATTTATTAATTATTTGCTTCTCAGTTCATGTATTTTCCAGACATGTGGGATGCCAGGCTGTATGTGCTGGGTGTGAGGCTTGGGTGTGTAGTGACAAAGTGTGTATTCCATTCTCAATGAGGTAACAGTCAAGTCTAAGAAAAACAAACATGCAAAAGAATGGTGTCGGTATAATTTAGGTAGGGCCACACACAATACAGGTAGAAACTGAGAGGTGAAAGTAACAGATTATTGAGGAGAGTGAGATTAGAGTATGGAGACAGTGACTCCATCCGTGATTTCCAATAACTGGTATGTAAGTGTTTAGTTTTGTCAGTGAATGAAGATCCAAGTGAACAATATGTATCATTATAATTTGATTTATTTCATTGATCATGGATTTCATTTCTTTCAGAAAAGCCCTGGTTTGATTTCAGAAAGTGGTACCAAGTTGTGAAGAAAACTTTTGATGAGAAAAAACGAAAATGGGAGGAAGCAAGGGCAAAGTATGTTATATCTTGTTGTCTTAGATTCACCTACTCTTAGTTCTGTGTCAGTTACTTTGTGTTGAAAGCTCAGATTTTATCAGTACTCACTCATCAGCATTGTGGCATTTTTTTCTAGAAATGTTAGCACTGTACATTCTAGTTATATTTTGTTTTCTTTGGTTTGGGGCAGTCTACCACTTGAACACCCAGCTCTTTTATTGGGTGGAAATGGGGGTCTCACAAACTGTTTTGCCCAAGCCAACCTTGAACTGTGATCTTCCCCATCTCTGCTTGCCAAGTAGCTAGGATTACAGGTGTACACTACCTTACCCAGTTTTGTGGCGGTTTTTTTAAGCAGTGTTGGGGATCAAACCCAGGACCTTGCACATGCTAAGCAAGCACTACTTTCTTTTTTTTTACATGGCTGTTAACTATTAATTAAACTCCACATTGTTTTAGATGTCACCATTTTCCATTAAAACTACCTCTTTTATTCTAGGATCTAATCCAGGGCTACATGTTGTACTTAGCACTCAGCTTTTTACAATTTGCCTGAACCTCGCCAGCATTTCTAATATTCCTTCCTCTTCCTTTCTTTCCCATGTATGTTTCCCTATATTATAACGATTATAGATGTCACCCATGACATACATAATTGGAATGTTGCCCCAAAATAATGATCTCTGTGAAAATCTGAACAAAGGAAAGAAGACAGCAGGTGTATTTAATTCAGTCAGCCTCACTTTGTTTGAACTATCGTTCAGATGTGGCTCCAATTAAGGTTGACTGGAAAGAGCACTGCTTATGGACAGGTGATGTTCGGCCTGACTCTTGACTGTGTCACAGACTAGCTGCATGACTTCACTCTAGCTTTATTGCACCAAAGTTTAGTTCACTCATAAATTTCTGAATACTGTCTTACCTAGAGTAGATTCATTTGATCAGTTGCTCAGTTTTATTTCTATTCTTAGAAATTTGGGTGGGAGTGGGGAATAAAGGAGAATGGTGGAGAGGGTGAATTCAAATATGATATAGGAACTTTTATAAATGCTACAATGTACCCCCACCAGCACAACAATTAAAAAAAAGAAATTTGAGTCTCCATAAGACTTTGAAGAAAAATTAACATCTCTGTTGTGTAAATTCACAGTAATACTGATTTGAGCAAGTAATTTTGTATCCTTTGAGAAAAATCAAAAGTTCTTAAAGTTAGTTAAAATAATTTGTCAGCATCAGTTTCCTCATGAACAAAATAGGAATAATCAGCCGTGTTTATATGCTCTAATTAAAGAACCAGTTTTCAAGTTTCAAAGCTAAAACTTTTATTATTATTCTAAATTTGAGAGCTTTTCAGTAGAAAAACAGACTCTCAGATCATGGGAGAAGATCCTTTCCAAAAGAAGAGTGATAAGTTCTCACTAGGCAGGCTTGGTGCACAGTGGTAAAGGAGAAGGGGTGGAGGTGAATGCACTCTTGACAGCTCATGGAGATGGATTCTTCCTTTCCCTATTAGAAAACAAGTGGAGGGCTAGCCGAGTAGCTCAAGTGATAGAGCACCTGCCTAGTAAGCATGAGGCCCTGAGTTCAAACCCGAGTTCTGCCAAAAAAAACCTAGCATAGAAAACAAGTGGATCTTTAGTCAGTGTATCTCAGTAGATACAAGACTAATAACAAGAACAAGTTTGTTCTGTTGTCTGAGGCATCTTGGAAAATCAGCCTTTTGTAGTGTCAGCTGGGTTAACCATGATGATCCGAAGGGCCAGTTCGGAGGCCATGCTGCCTGGCTGTCTCAGTGATGATGAGGCATTTCTTAGCCCCAACCACGCACCACCTTACATTTCAAACATGACTCAGTTCATGCTACAGTGCTGTAATCAGTTTGCACATCTAAGACTTCAGGCTTTCAGCTACTTTAGGAAAGAATTTAGCAACGAAAAAAAAAGATTGTTTAATTTTAAAATACTATTTCCCAGGGAGGCTCCAGGTCCCAAGAGGTCATCCAGGGAATCTCTTACTAAATTCCTTCTTCACAAAGTGTATGCCATCTTTACTATGTACAAGCAGTGTCAATCGGCCACCTGTACGTTAGTCATTGGCAAATGATGCATGGACACAGAGCCCCTGGGCATGCTGGCCATTGACCTGTTTGTGTCATCCTCTCCACCCCATAAAATTTCTAGTTTTCTTTGCTTTTTGCAGTGCTGGCACACTAGGCAACCACTCTACCACTGTGCTGTGTCCATCCCTAGCCCTAAATTTCTAATTTTTCTCCCTGTTTGTCTGGACATCATCTTCCTGTTGTCAGATGAAAATTATTGAAACATTCTCTATAGCTAGTATGGACCCTGTACACGGGCTGAAAAACACTAGTAAATAGTAATTGGAAAAAAACAAAAACAACGCTTATGGGGCCATTTTGCTAACTGTCAGTTTGCCATAGAAGATGTTGAGAAAAACATGGTAGAAAATCTCTGTGGCCTTTTGGGTTAGGCAAAAACTTCTTAGGACTGATATCCATAAAAGAAGAGAACTGATAAATTGGACTTCATCATCTGTAAGAACTTTTCCTCAAAAGGAACTTAAGAGAAAAAGAGGCCCCAGACTCAGAGAAATTATATGCAAATCACATATCTGATAAGAGATTTTTTTCTATAGTATAAAAAATTCTCAATAGGATAACAACTCAATTTTTCAAATGAACAAACCAAAGATACACAATTGGCACATGAAAAGATACTTGGATTCATTAGTAGGAAAGTGCAAATTAAAACAATTAAATGACATACGCCAATTAGAATGACCAAAAAAAAAAAAATGTTGACCATACAAATTTGATAGTGCAAAGTGGTGCAGACATTTTGGAGAGTTTGGCAGTTTCTCATGATAGTAAGCATAAAGTTAAGACAATATCCAGTACTTTCCATTCCTCGATATTTACCCAAGTGAAATCAAACTTACAGTTATACAAAAACCTATTTAGAAGTGTTTGTAGTGGGTTCATTCACAATCACTAAAAACTGGCAACAACCCAAATGTCCTTCAGTGGTGACAGGATAAACAACTGGCATAGCCATCCAGTACGATTACACTGAGTAGTACAAAGGAGCAAACTGACATCAGTTGTATGAATGAACCTAAAATTCATTATGCTAAATGAAGGACTCAAAAGGATATACAGTATGATTCCATTTATGTTATGTTCTGGAAAAGGCTAAACTTACAGGGGGCGAAAGGCATAGACCAGTGGTTGCCCAAGATCAAAGGTATGGTGAAAATTGATAATAAATGGCCGGGGGTGGGGGTGGGGAAGTGATGGATATGTTCTGTTAATCATAGTGTGTGTTTGTTAATCCTAACCAGAAGTGCACTGAAAAGGGCAAGGTTTACTGTAAGTAAATTATACTGGATTTTTTTTTGTTTAAATACAGGGAAATAAATGGTAAAGATGAGAGAAGCATACAGATAACTTCTAGATTAAAGACCTAAGACCTTTGTGGCATGTCTCTGTTTTTATAGCTTTATGTAATGGGAAGAGGTAGGCAAAGTAAAAAAGTTCTGAACAAGATTTAGTTTCAGAAGGGGTGTCCACGCCTTGGGAGCATCCCCTCTCGAGTTCTCGGGCATGTGCTCCAAAGGTAGAGTAATGCTTCCTTGGTAACAGTGTGGTCCACTTGTGTAGGCCTTCACCATCAATGCCTGAGAAATGGCTAAGAAACATCTGTCCCATCAGGCCGTCAAAAGAATGCTTGAAATGGGATACCTGTTTAGGGAGTTCTTTATTGTTTGAGATTTTGTTATTCTTATTACTTAAGAAAGTAAATAACAAAAAAAGATATGTTAAAGAACCACAGACTCATGGGGTTAAATGACAAGCTCCATGATATATTTTTTTTTTTTCATTTTTCTTTTATTATTCATATGTGCATACAAGGCTTGGATCATTTCTCCCCCCTGCCCCCACTCCGTCCCTTACCACCCACTCGGTCCCCTCCCTCTCCCCACCCCCAATACCCAGCAGAAACTATTTTGCCCTTATTTCTAATTTTGTTGTAGAGAGAGTATAAGCAATAATAGGAAGGAACAAGGGTTTTTGCTGGTTGAGATAAGGATAGCTATACAGGGCATTGACTCACATTGATTTCCTGTGCGTGGGTGTTACCTTCTAGGTTAATTCTTTTTGATCTAACCTTTTATCTAGTACCCGTTCCCCTTTTCCTATTGGCCTCAGTTGCTTTAAGGTATCTGCTTTAGTTTCTCTGCATTAAGGGCAACAAATGCTATCTAGTTTTTTAGGTGTCTTACCTATCCTCACCCCTCCCTTGTGTGCTCTCGCTTTTATCATGTGCTCAAAGTCCAATCCCCTTGTTGTGTTTGCCCTTGATCTAATATCCACATATGAGGGAGAACATACGATTTTTGGTCTTTTGGGCCAGGCTAACCTCACTTAGAATGATGTTCTCCAATTCCATCCATTTACCAGCGAATGATAGCATTTCGTTCTTCATGGCTGCATAAAATTCCATTGTGTATAGATACCACATTTTCTTAATCCATTCATCAGTGGTGGGGCATCTTGGCTGTTTCCATAACTTGGCTATTGTGAATAGTGCCGCAATAAACATGGATGTGCAGGTGCCTCTGGAGTAACAGTCTTTTGGGTATATCCCCAAGAGTGGTATTGCTGGATCAAATGGTAGATCAATGTTTAGCTTTTTAAGTAGCCTCCAAATTTTTTTCCAGAGTGGTTGTACTAGTCTGCATTCCCACCAACAGTGTAAGAGGGTTCCTTTTTCCCCGCATCCTCGCCAACACCTGTTGTTGGTGGTGTTGCTGATGATGGCTATTCTAACAGGGGTGAGGTGGAATCTTAGTGTGGTTTTAATTTGCATTTCCTTTATTGCTAGAGATGGTGAGCATTTTTTCATGTGTTTTCTGGCCATTTGAATTTCTTCTTTTGAGAAAGTTCTGTTTAGTTCACGTGCCCATTTCTTTATTGGTTCATTAGTTTTGGGAGAATTTAGTTTTTTAAGTTCCCTGTATATTCTGGTTATCAGTCCTTTGTCTGATGTATAGTTGGCATCCATGATATATTTTAAATGTGGTATAGTTCACTAAAATTTAATTTGCAAAGGTTTCAGGAAGACCATCACCTATACAATGTTGAGTCCATCGTTGCTTCTCCCTGACATTGAAAGACATTTTACTTCTGTTCTTAACATTTTAAGTCACTGGGAACCCAAAGTAAAAAGTTGTCATTTCTCTTTTATGTATAGTCATCTAATCAATACTGATTTAGTATTTTTTTAATCCTAGAGAAAAATCTCAATTCTTAGTGATAATTTGCTATCATAATGTTATTAAAGTGTATATGTCTTTTTTCTTTCCCAGCATTAAAAAACAAAGGTGAAAAATTATGAGTTGTAGACTTCTATAGGTAAATAAAATAATTGTACTTTTGGCTTCTTATTCCTTACTGTCTTTTCTAGAAAGTCCTCAGGAATTTCTTAAGTGTCTGTTAGCCAGGCACTTAGTCAAGCATTAGATAATTACATCTAATAATTGTATAGTATTTAAAGAATCTGTGCATATCTTAATTATTCCTCACAACAACCCTATAAAAGTGGAAGACAGGTTAGAGATGCTAAATTCATTAGTTAATTCACTTACTCATCTGTTCATTTATCAACAGGTGTTTAAACAAGTCTTTACTATGTACCATTCCTTGCCAACACTGGGGACAGAAAGAAGACTGAAATAGTCTCTGCCTTGGAAACCACCATAGTTTGTCCCTCAAGGCCACTAGACCTTTTGCTAGAAATAGTGGAGGTAGATCCTCTGAGTCAGTACTCTTTTTCTGTTGCCACAATGTCTTTCAAAATAATAAAATGGCCTGGGATCGAGGCAGATTTATTTTTTATTATAAGTTACAGATGTCCCTTAGGATGCTCAGAAAGAATGGAAATAAGATTTAAAATGAACATTGTTGGGCTGGGATGTAACTCAAGGGTAAGAGCACTTGTCTAGCATGTGCAAAGCCCTGGGTTCAATCCCCAACATGATCAAAAAAGGAAAACAGCATTGTTATCTTTGTTCTAGAGCAGCAGCATCTGCTTGGCAAAGTTTAGCAGTGGCCACTAGAACCAGAAATAGTGCAAATCACTTCCTTTTGGCCTGAATCTGGGACTGGTCACTAATAACCTGTAGGAATGCCAGATGGCGTATAGTCTTTGCCCTTGAGGCTACCTGCTAGCCTGATAAATCGAGTACCCCATTACAGTTGCCCCTCCCTGGCTGGCCTTCCCTAAGCAAGAGTCAATACAAGAACATTGTTGGTCTGTGTCATGCAGAAAGCTAGATGTTTCCTTCCCATTCCCTCCAGGAATAGGATAGATTTCCAGGCAGTGAGTGCCAGAGAAATTTGAGAATAGGAAGTGACACTGTTTATAGTTTTCAGAATCAGAAGTACCATTGACTTAGTCCTCAGCAAAGGGCATTTGAGGCAAAGGAGGAGGAACAGTTGTTTCTTATACTCTCTTTATGAGAGTAAAGAGCAAGGAAATTTTATGGTGAGGAAAATCATTTCTACTTTGTATAATTAATAACTTCTGCAGGATCCTTTGGCATCTGGGAGATGTGTGGGAGGAACACACCATACTATTGGCCTGCTCTCACTCATTGCCTCCTTGTAGGATTGAAGCTTTATGGACAATGGAGACATGTGACAATAGGCCCCTCCAAGCCAGAGCTATTACGCTGGATGTCAGGAATTTCAGACAGGAATGACTGCCTCTGAGAAACGGGTCTCTGAACTGTATTCAGGCACATTTTGTCCCTATCCTGCTCAAACTATTTGTGGGTTTTTTTTTTTTTGCACAGGTACATGTGGAAAAGTGAAAAGCCACTCTACCACTCACACATCGACAAATCAGTAGCATATAAAAGAAGAGGTGAGTTGAATTTTTTCTTGTTAGTGTCAGGTAGCAACACAGTTGTAGACTAGCTCAGTATCTTGACTTGAAAAGTGAACTTCTGAAGTGTTACACTGTACATGTACATCCAAAGGAAAATCATCCTCTACAAGCAATCTATCTTTTTATCTCAGTGTTCCCATTGGAATCTAAAATCCTATATTTCTATGATGTTTAGAACTCTGGAGAATTGCCCTTAAAGTAGTGATAAAATATATATAAAGTTTACCATTTTAACCATTTTTAAGTAACTGCTTTATACCCCTCATCCTGTTGCAGTTTCACCTTTGTTATCCTCATACATTACTGTGGACCATTCATCAAAACAAAAAGCCAACTGGGTATGGTGGTGCACACCTGTAATCCTAGCACTTAGGAAGCTAAGGCAAGGGGCTATATGGCAAGACACTATCTTGAGAAATAAAATAAGAAACCAACATCAGTATGTTCCCATGAAGGAAATTCCAGGCTTTATATGTGATATAACATTATTATTATTTCTTTGCTTTTTTCCTCCATTTCCAGAAATGGTGGTGAATCTACAAAAACAATTTAGTACACTGGTTGACTCAACACCAATTGTTGAAAAAAAAGGCCCTTCAAGCTTTCAGTTCAACTGGACTGAAGAAGACACTGATAGAACTTGTTTCCATGGACATAGCCTCCAGGGAGTCCTGATAAAGAAAAAGAAAGGCCAGTCACTGATAACCAAGAATTCATTATATTGGCTTAGTACCCAGAAATTCTGTAAAAGGTAGGTGAAGCTTTTCGAACCCAAAAGATAAAAGGCATGATGAAATCCCCAGTTTGGGATGAAGGTATATTCTTTTCTAATAAAAAAAAAAAAAGTCACAGATAGTTTAAAAGAACCAGATAGTTTATTAGTTGGGATTAGAAAATGGTAAATTTTTGGGGGCAGGGATTTTTTTTCTTTTTTGGTGCTGGGGATTAAATGAAAGGCCACACATAAGCTAAGTGAGCATGTACTCTACCACTGAGCAATACCTCCAGCTACAGCAGATGGGAAGCTTATAGTCATGAAAATCAGAATTATACACTGAGTCTTGTGTAAGAGTTTTAGGAAAGCTGGTCAGCTGGTAGAGTGGCTCAAGTGCTCCACCACTTGAGCCACTAGCAAGCACGAGGCTCTGAGTTCAACCCTAGCAATGCCAAAAAAAAAAAAAAAAAAAAGAGAAAAAGAAAGAAAGCTGGTAAAAATCAAGAAAGAGATGTCACACATTAGCACAGACTGTTCCCACTAGCTAAATTAATCTGCAGTGAGTGATGGAGCCAAATAATTGTCAGTGAATGCTGATCAGGAAAACCATTGTGTTTTTAAGTACATTTTATTATTCATTGTCCTGAGTAAATTACATACTCATCCTCACTTACTCCTAATTCTTCTTCAAGTATTTCCTAAGAATATTCTTCTAAGTAACCATAATACAGTTAGGGCAGGACCTAGCACAGTGCCAGTGTTCACAAAGTATTTGTTGAGTCAATGAATAGAAAATAGGACCTGCCTTAGGTTCTTATGAGAATTAAATGGCACATTTGGACATAGTACTTCATAAATGATAACTATGATCATTATTTTAAGCAAAGTTAATTTTTCATTAAAGCATTTCACTTAGTGAATTTGTATCAAAGATTAATGAAAAGTAAAAAATAAAGTAGGAGATGGTAAAATGAAGTTGTCCATATTAAAATTTGCTACCAAAAAAAAGTGTAGTTGCATCTGTAGTGCGTAAGGTATGGCTTAACTGCACACACAGGAAAATGCCACCACCCCACCCTGAGCTCAGTTCCACTTCTGAGGTGATAGATTCCTTTGTAGTGGTCAGTGCATGGCTTTTTAGGGTTTAAAATTTCATTGAGAAAAGGAGAAAAAGTTGTAGTCCCTACCAGCAAGGAGTACTTGCACTAGACTCAAGTTAAGGCTGTGGTGCTGATGCAGCTGTCTCTTCTGTCTGCACAGTTATGTGGTTTCTGGGCTAATATGATAGCTTTGTGGTTTTCACAGAGCACATGGGTGAATGTTAGATTTAATAATGTCATAGAACATAGTGAGACATAAGTAGACCATGATAGAATCAGAGGTAAAACAGTAGAGATTTTCATTGATGCATGAACTGTAGCTACTGTAAACCAAGGTTCAATAAGGCTGTGATTTTATGCACCAAAACTGTCTGTCATCCTTTCCTACTTCAGACCACAACCCAGAACCACAGGGTAAGCAAAACTTCAACCAACCAATAAAAAAGTCACAAAAAAACATGACTGAAGCTTACACCTTTTCCTCAGAGAGCCTCTAGCCTTTCACTAGGAGTCTGCAGACTCTGCATTTAGTTGTGTTTGAGTTTTCTGAAATCCAAACTCCTAATCATCAATAGAAACAAAGTAGAGGGGTCTGAGAGGTGGTCTACCAGAGGACACTTGACAGCAAACACAGTAGAAGAACCAGCATGGGGCTTACGAGACCTGCAAGGGATACTACCTGTGTCCCTTGCATGATGGTTGTGGACACTGTGAAAAATTTTCCCTTTATATAATTAAGGTATTTTAGCAAATTGTTCTTAATTTCCTTCCAACTCATAATACTATTTTAAGGCTTATACTTGCTCAGTTATTTGGGGGGGTGCTCAAAAGCTGGATGTATACATTTCTGAATTATCTTCAGAGATAACCGACTCCTTTTCCTTCCCCTTCTAGTCATTGTAGACATGTGACAACCTATGAAGAATCAAATTTTTCTCTGAGTTACCAGTTTATACTAAATATCTTCTCCTTCTTGCTAAGAATAAAGACCTCCTTTCTCCATGAAGAAGTGAGCTTAATTGAAAAGAAACTTTTTAAAAAAAAATACAGAGAAGCAAAAAAGAATTCTTCAAGATCCAAGAAAGTGAGAAGATACTGAAAAAAAAAGAAATAGAAACTTTATTGGAAAAATATTTTAATAGTGATAATGATGTCAAATTAAACACTGCAGAGAATTGTGGAAAATATAATTTCACTACAGATGTATTTACATGTGTGTCAAATGTGCTTATAGGATATACATATTGTGAATCAGGTGAACTTTTTTTTAAATGATGAGTATTCTTTGGGAAAATTAAAGCAGCAATAAATTATACAAATGGTATTCATAACTTTGTATTCATTGTAGTTTAAAGCTAATTTTGTGTGTGTGTGTGTGTGTGTGTGTGTGTGTGTGTGTGTGTGAGAGTGGGTTTCAATTCAGTGCTTTGCTCTTGCTAAGCAGGTGTTCTACTGCTTGAGCTACACCCAGCCCTTTTTACTCTGGTGATTTTGGATGTAAAGTCTTGCTTTTTGCCCAGGCCAACCTGGACTATGATCCTCCTATTTCATGCTTTGCACCATAGCTGGGATGACAGGCACACACTACCATGCCCAGCTATTGGTTGAGGTGGGGTCTCCTGAACCACCCAGGTTGGCCTTGAACCCGGATTCTCCTGCTCTCAGCCTCCCAAGTAGTTAGGATTACAGGTGTGAGACACTGGCACCTGGCTTTTCTTTGGCGAGAGAAGGAGGAGGGAGGCAGGGTCTTGGTGGGTAGCCCAAACTAGCCTTGATCTTGAGGATCTTCCTGCATCTGCCTCCTGAATGTTGGGATTTTAGATGTGCACCACAGTGCCCAGCTTTTAAGTCTGTTTTTTAAACTAGATCATTTCCTTATACTGTATACCCCAAAGTAAATCCCAGATGGATCAAAGATCAAAACATTGTAAACTTTCATATATAGATGTGTAAATGTATTATAAGAAAACAAGTATGAGTGCTTTGATGATCTTGGAATTGGGAGGTTCTAAGCATGTCTCAGATCCAGAAACCAAAAGGAAAAGATTGATAGTAGGACTATGAAGTCAAAGGCAAATGGCAAACTGGGATATTTTACTTGCAGCTTATAGTTTACGAAGGAAAATTTTCTTTAATCTACCAATAGTTCTTGCAAAGCAAGAGGAAAAAGACAAAGGTGAGCAAGAGATATAAAGAAATAATTTTCTGAGAAAAAGGCCAAGCCAAAAAACATAACATAGTCAACTTCACTTGTATTCAAGAAATGTAATCTAAGGTAGGTACTGTTTCCCACATCGCAGATGGAAAAGTTGGGCCTTCTTGTTCAGAGTTCAGTTATTTGTGCAAAAGGACCTCACTGAGCAATGATCCAGTCACATTCTATGACTGCAGCACCAGAGACTGAGCAAGATCCTGGTCCTAAGGACTGTATATATTCTAATTAGGAGCAGACAGTAAGCAAATGAATATTTGGGGGAATGAAATGCAAGGAAGAAAAAGCAAGACCAGGAAAGAGTGGAAAGGGAGAGGCTGTTCTATAAAGGGTGCTTGAGGGGAGATCCTCTGCATGGTGACATGTAGGTGGAGATCACCTTGCATGAAGTACAGTCGAGGGAACAAGCCAGGTAGGCTATTCTAAACGGAGGTAACAAATGCAAAGGCTCTGAAGTCTGAGTGCTTGACAGATTCAACAGCCAGTTGTTGAGGGTGGCAGGAGTATGGTGGTTGACAGGAGAGAGGTGGCAGATGAGATGGAAGAGGTTGCCAGGTGATTCAAGGCCATGGTAAGGATTTGGACTTTCATCCCAAGGGTGTCAAAAATTTTAAGCAAAAGATTGAGGAAGTTCTCTTCCTGAAGAAGAGACTTCAGGTTTTCATTTTGTAAATCAGGAATCAATGTCCTTTTTTCAGATGAGTTTCCTGCATCCATGAAATGATCATACAGTGTTTTTAGTCAGTCAATAAAGTAAGTTACGTGATGGAATTTCAAATGTTAAACCAATCTTGTATTCCTAGGATAAACCTCATTTGGTCCTGATCTATCACTCATTTTCCGTGTTGTTGAATTTGATGGATGAATTTTTTGTTTGTTTGTATTTTTGAGCCAGGATCTTGCTTTGTAGCCCAGGGACTCTCAGTCCTCCTGCCTCAGCCTCCTGAGTGGTGGGAATACAGCCATGCATCACCATGCCTAGCTGGTTTGCTGAAATTTCATCAGGAATTTTTTGCACCTATGTTCATAAGAAATTTTCTGTAACTTAAAGTTTCTTTATGTGTTTTGGTATCAGAGCAGTGCTGGCATCACAGGGTGAGTTGTGAAGCATTCCCTTCTGCTTTTCTTTCTAGAGGCATTTGCATAGAGCTAGTATTATTTACTCCTTAAATGTCTAGTAATGAAGTCTATGGGGGCGGAACTGGGAAGGCTGTCCTCGTGGGAAGCTTTTTAACTACAAATTCAGTGCTTTAATATGGGGCTGTTCAGGTTATCTATTCTTGAGAAAACTTTTCAAAAGACTGTTAGGAAAATAAAGGCAGCACAGGCTGGGAAAAATATTTGCAAAACATCTGAGAAAGGAGTTGTATCTATATAAAAAGTTCTCATAACTCAGTAAGAAAGCAAACAGCCCTATTGAAAATGGATGTAAGATTTGTACAGACTTTTCACCAAGAAGACATACAAATAAGCACATGAAGTTACTGAGCATCATTAGCTATTTAGGAAAATGCTCATTAAAAAGGGAGTGCCATGCCACTGCACAGCAACCAGAATGGTTAGCATTTGGGAAGACCAGCCACAGTAAGTAAGCAAGGATTTGGAGAAGCTGGTGCTAACCATAGAATGCTAAAGTCACTTTACAAAAGTTGAGTAGTTCTTAATGAAAGTTACACGTGCCTTATGACACAACCATCCTACTAGGTGTCTACCCAAGTAAATTAAATGTTTCTGCATAAAGTCCTGTATCCATATATTCATAACAACTTTATTTGGAATAGCCAAAAAAGGAAAAGAACTCAAATGCTCACCAATAGGCAAATGCATAAACAAATCATGGTATATCCATATACAATGAAATACTACTTTCCCATGAGAAGAAACAAACTATTCAAACAACCAATGATATCCCTGTCGAGGAGCAGGGTTTGAAGGAGAATATAAGAAGTGTATCTCTTTTTTGCAGTACTGGGGTTGGAACTCAGGACCTTGCATTTGCTCAGCAAGTGCTGTACCAGAAGTATATCTCTTATAACTGAAAAAAAAAATTGAACTGAAAAAAGAATTTTTTAATATAAATGCCATGGAATGAATATCATGACTTGAAGTAGTATGGCATTTCAGTTGAGTAACAAGTTGAAGTTGCTAACAAGATCTATATGCTTAAAAATATCAAGACAGCTCAAAGCTAAGAAAAGTAAGATTGACCGAGGAGGAAAGTGAAAAATAAGCTATATTTGTATGTATCTCAAATCCTATGAATTAACATTTAAATCTAATGAAGAAATGTTACTCTCTGGCAGTCAGTGTTTTCATACCTAAAAATATTATCTGACTGTTGGAAAAGTGTATCTGTCTACCCCAAAAATGAAGAGGGAGGCCACCCTGGGCTACATGGTGAGACCCCCCCCACCTCAAAAAAAAGTGCTGCTGGGCACCAGTGGCTCAGCCCTGTATTCCTAGCTACTTGGGAGGCTAAGATCAGGAGGATCAAGGTTTGAGGCGAGTTCCAGGCAAATAGTTCTCAAGACCCCATCTCCAAAATAACCAGAGCAAAATGGACTGGAGGTGTGACTCAAGCGGTAGAGTGCCTGCTTTGGATGTGTGAGTTCAAACCCCAGTCTGACCAAAAAAAAAAAGCTACTTATGCATGTATTATATGTGTATATATTACATGCATACACACATATTTATATACAGCTACTTCACTAAATTCAGTGTCTTCTTGTCAGCTGTCTGTGGGACTTGCTATCCTCCTTTACGTAAATGAGAAGCTAAGGGTTAATGATATTACGTGGCCTGTCCAAGATGTACAGCTGACACAAGGCTGAGCTAAGATTCAAGCCCAGAGGGCTCAAGTGGTAGAGCATCTCCCTAGCAAGTGAGAGGCCCTGAGTTCTAGCCCCATTACTGCCAAAAAAAAAAAAAAAAAGTATAAAATTTGAGCCCAGGTTTCAGACTCCAGATTCCAAACTACATTTTTTAATAATCAAGTCTAGATTTCTCACTGCTTTAGCAGTCTGTACATTTGTCTCCCTTTCATTTACTTCATTGGAATACAGATAGGTTGTGGATATAGTACATTTGATTCAATAAAAATTTCTTGGTTGTGTATCCCAGTCCTCAAAGTGTGATCCCTGGACAGCAGCAAGGATCTTGTTGGAAATGCATATTCTCAGGCCTCCTTCTGACCTGTGTGTCAGAAATCAGTGTGGGGCTCAGCGATGTGCTTTAAAGCCTTCCCCTGGTTCCAATACACGCTGTAGTGTGGGAACCACTGATTTAGAATATATGATAAAGGTTTAGAAATCAGTGAGTCAGCATATGAATTAGCAAATGTTTTTCGCTACTATTAATAGAAAGCCTCACTACTGGGTAGGATACAAGGATATTTCAAATACTTTGAACAGTTCTGGGATGTGTGCTTGTTTTTAATCCTCCTTCCCAAATGTGAGTTTCTTTAAACAGTTTGAGACTCAAAGGATGAGTGTCTTCTGCCTGGTGTGTTGACTTGTATAGTGCATGGGCACCTCAGTATTACTGTGGGAATGTGATGGCTACAGGTGGAGGCCCAGAGAGGTGCCTCATCTCCCTGAAGGGCAGCATTTCTCAGGGCACACAGTAGGCCTACCTGCCATTGCCATTCAAAAGTGGAGCCAGTTCTAAAGCCCCAATCCAAAAGGGCAAACCCAGGACCTGGCTCTCGGCACTCGGCAGCAGCAAATGGTGAGTTTGCTGGTTGGACGGAGCCTTGCTTCTTTGTTGCCTTTTTTCCCCTCTGCTGGTGAAAAGCCATCTAGAAAAGAGGATTAACTCAACCGGGTATCTACACAGCAAGTCATATCGCCTTCAAGGAGAGAAGGGTCAGAACCCCCATAGAATTTCCAAGTGTGGCTGCTGTAAAAGTTCTATTCATTATTGTGAAGAGAGCAGATAGCTAATAGTGTGTATTTTTATCTTGAGTGTGTAGCTAGTGACTTTTTTAAAACTTAAAAATGCCTCTGTTTTTAAAGCTGAGTAAATGCACACAGTATTTAGTTTCTCACAAAATGCGTTCAAGGAGCTTTTAGCGTATG